GGGGGCAATAATCGCGCTTTGAAGGCCCGGAGCAGGTATAGGCGAAGACACAGAAAGACGATGGAAGCGAACCGAACCGTTTCCGCATGCATCGCGTCAGGTGCAGCAGAACGACTTCATTCATTCAGCCATCCATCCATCCACCCATCGGAATGGTCGGCCGGCCAAGCCGTCCCCAACGTGATTGGCATGTTTATTACCAATTATTCAGATTTTCGTATGAAAACTCGACGCACGGCAGCGCATTCAGTCATCGATTACGTCCCCCCTTTTCCTTCTTTTGTGAACAGGGCCGCGGGGACAGTCGTGCGTGGGATGTTTTCCAATCATCCTGGCAAGAAAACAAACTAAATTTTCATGTCTTTTACTAAGAGGAGAGCTACATGAGTGCTTTCAAAATACGAGCCTGCGTAGGGAAAATGTTCGCGAAATGTAGAAGAACGAGACTAATAAAATTTCTCTCTCTCTCTTTCTTCTCACGCACTTTTCCTCCCTCTGCGGTGGGAGCGGCGGAGCCAGCGGTCCGCACAGGGCGGACATCCTGCGGAAAAGAAAGGCTAAGAAAATAGAAGCAATTAATTAAGAGTAGTGATGAGAAAGAAAAGGAAGGGAGGGGCAGGGGCGGGAGGAGAAGGTAAAGGCGAGGGGAGAAGAGGAGGGCGGAGGGGCTGACTTTGACCGGCCGAGAGCCTGGCGGGAGCTAGCTCCCACAGCACGTCCACTCTCCCACGGCGTCCACCCAACTCGACCCAGCCGGTGTGGTAGCAGTAGTAGTTCATCCGCGACGGGGGCGGCCCCAACCTCGCGACCAAAGCCGCGAAGCAACGCGAAGCGACGGCAGACAGGCAGACACAGAAAGGCATAGTCAGACAGACAGGCAGGCGGTCGGCATTGTGATCAGGCGGCGGAGCTGTGCATGGCCAACTTGTCGCCCCTTTATCGTTTCCGGTCATAACCTCCTCACCGCAAACAGAGAGCACGGAATAAGTCGCGACCTAAAGCCGCCCCGCCACGCCCCGCCACGCCCCGCCCCGGCCGGCGCGGTGGTTAACCTGGTGGGGTACCGATATATGGCAGGAAATCGGTGGTGCGGGTTCTTGCGCGTTACGGGGCTCAGCTTTTACAGCCCTTTTCCTCTCCCTCTCCCGCGTGCGTTTTAACGAGGCGATTGAGACATTTTTCGGCTTGTAGCTCCCCGTGAGGGTGGCGGAGAAGTACAACGCGTGTCGAAACGCGCGTTATTCAAACGACGGCGCGTCCTTTATAGGGGCACATTACGGGCGATGCGTTTATATGGGATCCGGAGCGCTCAGCCGGATGCATGCCCGGAATTACAATCGAGTTTAACTTTCACACACACACACAGCTATAGCTCGTCGCCATCCATGGGCAGCTGCGGCCCATAAATACCAATTTTCGTAATTTTCGCAAAAGACAAGGCTGGTGAAGAATTTCTGAAACTGGATTTGCATCTTTCAGGTGTACTGTACAAAAGTTAAACCATCAAAGTTTTTGAACACTAAGTTGGTTTGAACACTTTTGCGCTATCGTGTAGTTTGCCCAAAAAGTAGTCCGAAACAAAACGTTGGGTTACTTTTGCACAAACGCTCGCACATAGAAACACACAAATACAGTTAGCGTGTAGTCGGGCGACACACACGACGTGATTTTAAGCCAGACGTCGTATGGCCTACTTCCCGACGCCACAGCACAGATGACACCCCGCGCGTCCACGCGACTTACAATAACAGCCAGGAGAAAGGAGCCAGCAGGAGGTGAGCGGTACGAGGCGAAGCGAGGGGCCGCCTCAGAGGATTGAGGCGGTTGGGGTCGGCGGCGGCCAGCAAAGCACAGAGAGGACCACATACGCGTCCGGAGGGCTCCGGAGGGCTCCGGAGGGCTCCGGAGGGCTCCGGAGGGCACCTCAGAGGGATTAACGGTGCGCCCGCCATTAGTCAAGACATGACAGACGCTCGTCGATACATCACTCGAGCAACATTACTGGCCGTGGAGTGGACACCGCCGCCGTCGGGCCGTCGGCGACGTCTGCCCGCCCGGACGTCTGCCTGCCCGCCCGCGTCGACGTCGTCGTCCGACTCCAACGGCAGCGGTGCGGTTGCGAGTGGCCGAGAGTGTCATCCAGGACTGGTCCAGGACTGATCTAGGACTGGTCCAGGAGAAGAGCGCCGCCCAATAGTACTTCGCGACTCGACGACGCTCAGCACATCAGGTGCGTATGGGATGGCGGCGCCCGGAAGGCGGAGGAAGTCGTGCTCTGGTCGGACCTCCAGGAGGCTCCAGGATCGGGGCCCGGGGGCTGCCGACGAGCACCCCGCGCCGCCGCCGTTTCCGGTCGTGCGAGAAGTGCGCAGGATGGGAGCCGCTCGCCCACCATCTGATCTGGCGCTTCCGGCCGCCCAAGTCTTCGCGGCGGCGGGCCGCCCGCCGCCCCGGCCCGTCAGCCCGCAGCGCCCGACTCGACACACAGTTAATTAGACAAAAATTCGCAGAGTTTCGTCGGTTTATTATGCCGTCCTGCGACGACGCATACATTCAACTTTGGCTTAACTTAGGGGTTTGTTGTACGGCATAATCGTCACGGCAGCCCACCCCCAAAAGGCGCATCACGTGGTGTAACCAGCTGTTGGCGAAAGGGGTTGGAGGAGGACTACGTCTTCTCCTGCAGGGCTTTTGAGGCCTGGGCTGGGCACTCATGACCCTGGATCCGACCTTGCTCACTAGTTCATCGGCTCAATCGTC